AGGAAATCAACTAGAAAGAATTACAAAAGAGAGAAGAATGTAACGACCCGGCCGGTCGTTTCATGAGTTACCGCTCCATTTCCCCCATTTTTGCTTCTTATTGCCTTGCTCAGCGGTATTATGTGTTATCGGGTTGGTTGGCTCGGGTTCGGAAAGGTTTTGGGTGAGGTTTGAGACACTTAGTCTCTTTTGAGTAAGCTTAAGTTGGAAAAGTCAACCGGATGTTGACTTATGTGATAAAGGGCTCGGATGTGAGTTCCGATTGTTCAGATAGCTTCGGGAGGTGATTTGGGACTTAGGAGCGTGATCGGAATGTGTTTTGGCGGTACGGGGCAGATTTAGGCTTGAATTGGCGAAGTTGGAATTTTGGCGTTTTCCGGTTGATATGTGAGATTTTGATATAAGGGTCGGAATGGAATTCCNTTCTGATGGTTCAGATAGCTTCGGGAGGTGATTTGGGACTTAGGAGCGTGATCGGAATGTGTTTTGGAGGTACGGGGCAGATTTAGGCTTGAATTGGCGAAGTTGGAATTTTGGCGTTTTCCGGTTGATATGTGAGATTTTGATATAAGGGTCGGAATGGAATTCCGGGAGTTGCAATAGGTCCGTCATGTCATTTGGGATGTGTGTGCAAAATTTCAGGTCATTCGGACGTGGTTTGATAGACTTTTTGATCAAAAGCGGAATTAGGAAGATTTTGGAACCTTAGGCTTGAATTCGATGTGATTTGGTTGATTCGATGTTGTTTGAGGAGTTTTGAAGATTGGTATAAGTGTGAATAGTGTGGTATATGACTTGTTTGTGCTTTTGGTTGAGATCCCGGGGGCCTCGGGGTGATTTCGGATGGTTGACAGAGAGTTTGGAGTTTTGGAGAAATTGCAGAAGTTTTCTGCTCCTATTGTTTCCGCAACTGCAGATTGGGGACCGCAAATGCGGTCAAGGACGCGAAGGGCAGGAGCCGCAGATGCGGAGTGCTCAGCGCACATGCGATGGCGTAAGTGCGGTTATTTGATCGCAGATGCGGACTTGGAGTTTAAGTGAAAACCGCATATGCGGTATTTAGACCGTAGGTGCGAAAAGCCTGGGTCAGAAAGTATAAAAGGATTCCTTCGCGATTTTTGAGTTATTCTTTACCATTTTCATTCGGGTTTGAGCTTGAGGGAGCTATTTTGAGGGATAACACTTGGAGTTAGATTTTTGAACCTAATAATTGATCCTATGGCATTATTTCACTGATTTGGCTTGGAAATTAATGGAAATTAAGGGTTAGAAATTGGGAAAAGTAGGGCTTGAGATTGGAGACCTTTGAGCAAGGGTTTGAGGGTCATTTGTAGTCGGATTTTAGTACTTTTGATATGTATGAACTCGTGGGGGGAGATAAGGAGTCTATTGATGTAAATTTTATCGAATTTCGAGGCGTGGGCCCAGGGGTCAAGTTTTGGTTAATTTCGGGATTTATGTTGTAATTTGATTATTTTCACATGGGCTTCGTTCCCTTAGCATATTTTTACGTCATGATTCTGATTTTGGATAGATTCGACGCGAGTTGAGGCCGATTCGAGGGGCAAAGGCATCTCGGGCTAGAGTTTGGACCAGATTGAGGTGAGTAATGATTGTAGATGTTGTCCTGAGGGTATGAAACCCCGGATTTCACATCGTTGTGCTATTTTGAGGTGACGCACACGCTAGATGACGAGCGTGAGGTCGTGCACCGTTGGGGATTGTGACTTAGTCCATCCCGAATGACTGTTTTACTGCGTATTTGACTGAAAACTGTTTGCTATCATCATGTTTTGGGCTGAATGCCATATTTGGGCTGAATGCCAACTGTTTTGGACCCTTAGGGAATTTTTACTACTATTCCTCACTGTTTTGACCTTATACTTGTACTCAGTCATGCTATATTCTACTGTTTTTATAACTCAACCATGTTTATACTGTTTTGACATCTTAAATGATATTTTGAGCTGAACATCATATTTTTACTGTGCCCGAGTGGCTTTTAGAGATTTCTGACTAAAAAGGGCCGAGAGCCTGTGTTGTGAGGTTATTATGGGATCGGGTTGCACACCGCAACAGTGTTGTACTGATTTATGATTATAAGGCCGAGGGCCTGAGTTGTTATGCCACGTGGTGGCTTGATATGAGGCCGAGAGCCTATTGATTATGCCACGAGATGACTTGATATTGCGCTTGGGCCGTAAGGGGCCCTTTCCGGAGTCTGTACACCCCCAATGAACGCGGGTACCCAGTGAGATATGTGATATAGCCCGAGGGGCTGAGGTTGTTCTATGTTATTGCCCGAGGGGCTAATTTCTATTGGTATTGTGCCCAAGGGGCTGATTTTATGTGTTTATCTTTTCTCGCTGCTTTTCATTCACCTGTTTAACTGTTAAAAGATGTTTTAAAGAGGTATTTACTGAACTGAGGTGTTTTTACAAGTTTTCACTGTTTTGTTGCATTGTATTAATTTTATACTGTCTCTTTATAGCATGTTGTTGTGCTTTACGTGATTTCTTATCTCTCGGCTGCTTTTACTTTTATTACTCACGGAGTTGGAGAACTCACTTTACTCCCTGCACCCTGTGTTCAGATTCAGGAGCTTTGGGTCCCGCCAGTGAGGGTTGATTGCTCCCAACAGGCTATTCGGAGTCCACTAGGTAGCTGCTCGGCGTTCGCTGCCCACTGTTTCTCCCTCCTATTTTACTTCCCTTGTTCCAGTTCTGTAATAGACTGTATAAACCCTTTCATACTGTTAGACTTATGTTAGATGCTCATGACTGGTGACACCCGATGTCGGGCTGTGTTGGTTTCCGCAAATTGTACTAGTTCACTTTTATTTTGGGATTTTTAGCATGATAAAGACTTAAATTGTGTTATTATAATTGTTTAAATGAATTGGGTGTTGTGTCGGCTGGCCTTGTTTCACGATAGACGCCATCAAGACCGGGTACGGATTTAGGGTCGTGACAAAGAAGGAATTGACTTTCCAACAATTCTGCAAGTACCCTTTTTCTGTTCACCACCACAAATGTAAGATAGAGAATGTGGAGTCATACACAAAAACATCTAGTAATCTAATCAGAAGTTTCAGGACTACCCCTAACTTTTACTGGATACTTTGGTGTGCCAATCAACACAGATTTCTGAAACTACAACCAAGTTGTATCCTACCTAGGTTGCAACAAATAATAAAATTTGGCAAGGAGGGAAATCACAGATGAAAAAATCTATTCATTGTTTCTTTGGTAAGTTTAGACAATGAGAACATAATACGAAGAAATAAGGTTAATCCAAAAGGCTAGAAACATGTTTGACCTCATAAGCAGAAGAATCTGATGTCTGAGTGACAAATTGAGCAACACGTTTTGAAGAGAAAGAATTTCCAGAGTCCAAGAAAATGATTTTGCCCCAGCCTTTTGCAACTCTTGAAGCAGCTCGTAAGCAAATCTGGACCCAAATATAATCTTGAATCAGTAACAGCACTGAAAGCCCAAAGAGGCTTCAAAGATGAAACAAGCTTCAATAATTCAATACTCAGAAATTTATCTAACTTCAAAGAAACAAAAATCAGAAATCAGCACAATCTCCACAGATATGTCAAATAGAATTTGCATTATCAATACACTCTTACTTGTGTTTTACCAGAGGATGACGGGCCAACTAGCTCACTCAGATGTCCCTTCTTTAATCCACCATGAAGAAACACATCTATTCTGGCCAAGAGTAGTCCTATTCATCAGTTATCTACTGCCAAAGAAGCTATAAAAGTATCGGCGTTCAAGCATTATTACCTTCTACATCCAGTAGGTAAGGAGCTTTTATTTTGTAAAGCATCATCCAACAACTCCTGACCATTTACCCATGGTTGATGCTGACCATTAATGATAGTCAGAACTTGAGTGATGCCCTACTTTACACGTAAAACGGACATACAGATCATTATAGGAATACCAAAAGACAGAGATATGAAATGAAAACTACATATGTGGCAGATCAGACCTCCTTCAATCTCTCCGAATTATGATGCTGTTCGGTTGAAATCACTAATACGTAAAGATCACGTAGAAGAAAATCTTCAACTGCAAAAATAGAAGAAGAAAAATAATATGACTGAAAGACATAAACTTCATATTTATCCATTATCCTACTTTCTATTTTAAAGCGTCCCAGAATTGTGTCCACACTTTCAGGAGTACTTTTTCTCTACACTTCTCAATACTTCTTCATTGTTAAAATATATATAGGGTGATTTGGAACCCACTTTATTCTTCAAAGTCTTCAAAAGGTCAACTTTTATCTCCACTTCTGGATCCATGATAAAACTTCAACTTTTAGCTTAATAGTCGTATGCAAACCAAATGGGACACCAAAAATGGAAAGGATGGCGTACAATTCAATTGTTAACACTATAATTATTTCACAAGGATCCAAAAGATTAGTAAACTGTCCATTCTGGGCATCAAATTCTTTCAATCATCTCTCCGAATTCTTTAATAAAATTTATACAGGTAAAATGGAAATGCGGGGTGGTGTCAAATATGAGATCCAACCTTAACAATCATATATGGATGGGAATCCCCCC